GTTCATCTTCGGAACACGAATTAAGATATTTTTGATCAAATCTGAGAGCTCTGAGAGTTAGGTGTTTGTTAGGAATAGCAATAATGACTAAACAGTTGTTTTTAAAAAAGTCGAGGGTTAAAAATTGGTGAGGGTCTGAATATATTTGCAAGGTACCATATACACACTCACACGCCACTCCCCTAACTGCACAAATTCTCTTAAAGGGACAGGTGCACCATTGTAAACACAATGAGAGATGGAAAGGAGGGAAATGGAGGAAGACTTGTGATGTGTCCAAACAGCTGTTTGCAGTTGCTGCATGTTGTTCCTGTCACACGCCGGAGTGTTTGCCACGCTCTCCTGCACAGCGAGAATGAAATGTGACAGGCAGTGAACACTCCAACAAACGGGACGGGCAGCTCTCAGAAACATCTTCGCTTGGCGTCACACAGCATCCGTTTTCCGAGTCACTCAGGTACAACACCAGCAACGGAGAGTTTCATTCAAAGTGGCACTGCATGCACACGTATTCGTACTTCCTTGAACACATACCCGCACAGCCAGGCCCATGAGGAATCTGCACAGATTTTGCAAAGTCCTACACATCATTTGCCCCGTGCATGTTGGTTTAATAAATATTTTGGCAAATTCGACAATGCTTTCAGCTGCCAATAAGAATATACCACTCTTAGCTCCAGTTTTATCCCATTTGATCCATTTCACAGAATTTGGCAATGGAAATTCGGCAGTGGAAACAGTGGAAGTCTACAGCGGAAACGGCATGAAAGTCTGCAGATTCCGTCTGGGCCTGCTAATAAACAAGCTTTTTGCCACTTTCATTTCATTCTCCTCCTACAATCCACAGTACTTCCTCATGGAAGACTGAAACTTCAGTCTCTCAGAGTAAAGAAATGATAACAGCTGTTGTTCGTTGCATTTCTGTGATGTTGCAGACAGCCGTTTCCGTGTTTAATTCGTAGGTTATGGTACTTGAGTAGGGTTACAGAGAGCAGTGCGGTATGGGCTGGAAGCATGTTGCAGAAGGCATGCAGGTGTTGTAATATACGGGAGAGCAGAAAAGTGATGGTACGCCGTGTTCCATCTTTTCCCCCTTGCTTTCTTTGTCTTTTCTGGCCGCACATGTTCTGGTTCCCTCACGCACGTGACTCTTTCTTGGAGTGAGGCTTGTTGCCCAGGAGAGCATCTATCTCACTCACAGTCTGAGGCGTCATCTGAGACAGCACCTAGTGAGAATATGAAAATCGTGTTATTAGGAAGTCTGTCTGATCGTAAGGAAAGAAGCGAATACTTATTCAGCAGAGATTCATTACATTGATAAAAAAGACTTTTATAATGTTACAAAAGATTTCTGTTTCAGATCAATTATGTTCTTTTAAACTTTTCTATTCATCAAAGATTTGTGAAAAATGCATCGCGGTTTTCACAAAAATATTAAGCAGCACAGCTGTTTTAAACATTGATAATAATGAGAAATGTTCCTTGTTTGAGTGTCAAATCAGAAACTTTAGCAAACTTTTAAAATGAGTACTTCTTAAGAAAACAGTATACTTTAAAGAACATATTTAAGTGCAAACTGAATGTAATGCATATTCATTACAGTTAAAAATGTTTTATAGTTTATAATTAATTTTATATATCTTTTTTGACCCACTGAAGTAGGGCTTAAGTATGTCTTCATATATGTAATTTCATAAAATTTGGTTAGTGTACTTCAGAATGTACTGACAAGCATTTAAGGTAAAATAAAACATATTTGAATGTAATTTATATTGAAACATATTTAATATATATTTGTAATTGCACATTTTGCACAAACGATGAATTGCAATTTAGTACAAATAAAATATATCAACTATATATAAAATAATATAAAATGACACTATACTTACAATAATAATCAAGTACTTTAAATGTACTTTAGTATGCTAATCAGCACATCAAAATAAGTGTACTTCTTTAAACTGACAAAAGATCTTAAAGACTTTTAATTTGATTATTGTTATTTTTTTAAAGTGTGTAAAAACATTCTTGAAAGTTTATACACTCCCCTCTAAAAGTATTGGAACAGTGAGGTCAATCCCTTTATTTTTGCTGTACAGTAGACTGAAAGCATTTGGGTTTGACATCAAAAGATGAATATGAGACAAGAGATCAACATTTCAGCTTTTATTTACAGGTATTCACATCTGGATCTGATAAACACAACTTAGAAGATAGCACCTTTTGCGTGAACCCACCCATTACTCATGTGACCAAAAGTACTGAAACAGATTGACTTAAACTAGATTAAAGTGAATAAGACTTGGTATTTAGATGCAAATACTTTGCTTGCAATAACTGCATCAATCCTACTGCATCACCAAACTTTTGCATTCTTCTTTTGTGATGCTTTTCTAGGCTTTCACCGCAGCCTCTTTTAGTTTTGGGGGTAACTCCTTACAGTCTCTTCTTTAGCAGGTAAAATGCATACTCTATAGAGTTTAAGTCTGGAGATTGACTTGGCCAGTCTAAAACCTTCTACTTCTTGCCCCTGATGAACGCCTTTGTTGCTTTGGCACTATGTTTTGGGTCATTATCTTGCTGCATGATGAAGGATCTCCCAATCAGTTTGGTAGCATCTTTCTGTAAACTGGCAGACAAAATGTTTCTGTAGACTTCTGAGTTCATTTGGCTGCTGCCGTCATGTGTTACATCATCAATTAAGATGAATGAGACCGTCCCAGAAGAAGCGATGCAAGCCCAAGCCATGACATTACCTCCACTGTGTTTCAGATGAGCTTGCATGTTTGGGATCATGAGCAGATCCTTTTTTCTCCAAACTTTAGCCTTTCCATCGCTTTGGTAAAGGGTAATCTTTGTCTCATCAGTCCATAAAACTTTGTCCCAGAATTTTTAAGGCTCGTCTCCTACTCTTCTTGCTAATGAGCGGTTTGCATCTTCTGGTGTAGCCTCTGTACTTTTGTTCATGAAGTCTTCTGTGAACAGTAGATTGTGATACCTTCACTCCTGCCCTGTCCTGAGTCTTGCTTTTTTACAGCTGTCACAATGTTTTTGCCTTCAACTGCTGATGTTTTCCTTGGTCTACCCATTTGAGGTCTGTTACTTAGTACACCAGTGGTTTCTTTCTTCTTCAGGACATTCCAAATGGTTGTACTGGCTATGGCCAATGTTTGTGCAATGGCTCTGACTGATTTTCCATCTTCTCTCAGCTTCACAATTGCTTGTTTTTCACCCATAGACAGCTCTCTGGTTTTCATGTTGGTTACACTTCTAACTATAAATGCAGTCTGCACAGGCAAAACCCAAATCTGAAACTGAGCGCAGACATTCAGTGCTATTTATTGTTTGAATAATCAATTAATAGGACAGACCAGGGCAACAAAACACACCTGTCAGTCACATGTTCCAGTACTTTTGGTCACATCAGCAGTGGGTGGGTTCAAACAAAAGGTGCTATCCTCTAAGTTGTGTATCAGATCCAGATGAAAATACCTGGAAATACAAGCTGAAATGTTGATCTCTTGTCTCATATTCATGTTTTGAACTCAAACCCAAATGTTTTCAGTCTACAGCAAAAATAAACGGAATTGGCCTCACTGTTCCAATACTTTTGGAGGGGAGTGTAAGTACACTTAAGTGGTCTATTATTTCATTAATATTATATTATCTGCAAGTACAATTAAGCATTTATTTTTCACAAAGGAATGATTTCTGAAGGATCATGTGACACTGAAGACTGGAGTCACAGGAATAAATTACATTTTTAAATATATTCAAATAGAAAATGTTATTTTAAATTGTAATAATACTTCACATCGTAATAATTTGTAGTGTATTTTTGATCAAACAAATGCTCACGGTGAGCATAAGAGACTTCTTTAAGAAACATTAAAAAAAATCTTTCGAACCCTAAGCTTTTAAATGTGTGTGTGTGTGTGTGTACCTGGTATTTATCACGGTATGGGGACCAAATGTCCCCACAAGGATAGTAATACTAGTAAATTTTGACCTTG